CTGAACAGAATTACTTTTCTTCATTACCATCACAGATGTCTTCAAAGTGTAATATGAACTAAAAGTTCAGAGCAGTCAGTGACCCAAAAGGATTCTACCTCTTAAGATTCAAGAAACAAGGCTGAAAGGGACCTTCAGGGCTTCTGCTATCATAAGGAATAGTTCTATTATATAATTCTGTTCATAAATGATCCACATTCTCCATCTTAAAAATTACTAAAAGTAATGGGGACAAAACCCTAAAATGAAAAATTAGAAGGTTGCCTCAAAACCTCACTGAAGTTCAGAACCTCTGGAAACATTCTGATTTCCTGCTGAAATGTTTTCCCAGTCAGCTTGGGCCTAGCTATTCTTGTGCCAACATTGTCCTTCAGTTTAAATAGTTCTCTTCCCTTCCTGGTTATTATTCCCCACAGTATTTATAGAAAGAATTTGCTCGCCTCTTCAGACTTCACTTTGCTGAGCTAAACAGGTTGTGTTCATTAAGTTTCCTCTCAAAGGGGCTCTTTCCATTCTGACCATCACAGCTCTTCTCTACACCTTTTTCCAGTTTAAATTCGCTTTCTTGAACATCAGTGTCTAGAACTGTAAGCAGAATTATAGACGTAGCTCTCACACCTGCTTTAATGCTTCCATCCTTGGTTTCAGCTGCTTGCCTATTTTCTCCAAGCCTATAATGCTTTTCTTATGTTTTAATGCCATTAACCCACAAATAAACTTGCCATCCAACATAACTGCAAATCCGAGATCCGAGGCTAAGTGCCAAACTCCACAGATACCAATGTCAAGAAAAGCTAAGTAAAGATGTACATTTTCAACTTGAAAAATTCCTTATTTTAATCTGTTATCTGTTCTTCTTAGGATAAAAAAGGTGTGTGTTTTGACCAACACATTGTTAGACCTAAAATGAAAATTTGCACCTCCAGGCACTTGAAGAAAAAAATAAGATAAAATCTTCAGTAAGAAGCAGAAGAGGCAGCAAAAGTGATGCTAGGAGTCCCTTCTATCCAATGACATACAGCAAGGATATGCATTGCATGCTGGAGAACTGGTTCCTCTTTTTGCCTAAAGAAGTTTGAAGCCATATATCCCACAAGAGTAGCAGAGCACATTGGGGTGGAATGTGCTCACCTTTCTGACTCTGGCTCCCTCTCAATGTAGTATGGAAGGTGGGTTTTTTTTTTTGTTGTTGCTTCTTTGTTTTAAAAACAAAAAACCAAAACATTCACCAAACCGATGCTGCGCTTCTTGAAGCGACCAGCTCCAATTTACGGTGAAGCATCTTATTAAAAAGCAAAGCAGCTCCAAGCTTGGGAGTGAGCCCTCTAGAACCAAGAGGCTTAGAAATGTACTTGCCTGGTGGGTTATCCAGCTAATCATCATGGTGCCAGGAATCTCTGACATACCCTTGCTGACAGTGTTAACAACAGGAGTGATGCAGAGCATCCCGAATACTCAGTAGCTGAAACCTGGTGGAAGATGTTTCAAACTGCACAGAAGCAGAATGGACCAAATCCAGACCCTTAGAAGCATCTGTAAATACTTAATCATTCTTCTGTCATCAGGGTCTGTATTTTGTGATTTTTCTTTGTTTGTGAGCCAGACACTGAAACAGTATTTCCATCTAAAACTATTTACAGGTGCCACAGCAAATTAACGAGTTACTTGAAGACTATAAACTTCCCATCCAGCCATTGCCTAGTTTACTATTTATTGAAAAATCTTGCCCAGCCCTAATCTAAATAGCAGGCAACTGCTTCAGTTATTTGCTATAGAGGTTGTCAGGCACTATTCCATGAAAACCAGCTGATGATATATATTGTTTTTCCCTACTTTCAGTTGTAAAACTGAATTAAAGAGACACTTGGAACACAGTAAGAGTTCAAACTAATATTGCTTCCTTATATACAATTGCTGTCATCAAAAGGGGCATACACAGTCTGTCTCCTCGACAGACTACTGGAATATATGCATGTATCCAACACCCTAAACACTGACCTTAAAGGCTAGCCAGAAAATGTGTGGCTGAAGCACAGGAGCATGGGTCACGCGATCAGAGTTCTGTCCCATGTGTCACTTCAGCTACTATTACACTATTTTCATTAATGAGGAAACTAGGACAGCCCTGTACTTGAGCATTAATCTGTTACAGGTTCTGAAGAATTGGCGCACTTCACGTCAAGGTCACAAGGTATAAACCTATATAAACATTGAAAGTATCAAAATAGTCTCTTATACTATAAGACTTATAATAAGTCTCTTATACAAGTCTCTTATAGTGCTTACCAGTGCCCTAAGCATATTTCTTATTAATGTTTTATAATCAAAATCACCTAAACCAATTACAGAGCTGCTTACTATATGCTACTGAAAATATTTAGACTGAAAGCAAAAGTGTGTAAGTTATTTTAGTCATCAGTCAACTATCACAGTAAGAGTCAGCATGCCAATAACATACACTGACATCATGTAGAAAGCACTGTTAAAAATATCCTCTTTTAATATAAAGCAGCACTGGATACAAGCTGCCTTTTATTTGTGAATACACTTAATAAAAAAGCAAAGGGATTCTTTAAGTTGGGATGTGGGGGAGAAGGCAAGAAGTGTGAATACATTGGTCTTTTTCTGGTACCATCAGAAGCAGCATGAAAAGCTTCTCCTCCTTGTTACCGATAGGAAGGAAAAGAAAGGGGAGGAAAATGGGAAGAACAGAGGAAAGGGAGCGTAACTGATCAAGAATATTTGTCTACTTTTATAAAAGATAATTTTTTTTGTTTCACTTGAAGACTTCCAAGTAATAAAAAAAACTGTAGGGCTTTGAAGTGAAAAGGATTAAACCTGATGAACTGGGAGGTAAAATTATATTTAGACAGAGATTTTGGAGTTATTTAACCTAACATCTTTTATAACCACAGAAGGGAAGAAAGTCTCTACAGCCCTAATGTTACTTGACACCAGGGCTGTAGGATCAGACACTGAAAAGTCAGCACACTCATCCCTTTGTAAGAACAGAGTGCTTCCACTTCAGCTCTGAGGATTTCCAAGCTACAACATGCCCAGAAAGTACTCTAAACAACCAAAGTTGCAATGGCAGTGTTTTCCTTTTTGTTTTACAAAAGTGAACAAGTTATTCTTCCTAAATTCTAGAAATTTTTACTTTTTTTTTTAAACGTAAAGCTTACTCTATCTTATTTGGGATCATGCTACACCTTCAAATAATGCTAAACCCTCCCATAAAACTCTTTCAAACTAGAAGCATCTGGAGAAATTAAAGTTTATCGTTAGAACAGTACGCCGCGATCCCTCGCACAAGCAGTGCCAGCCTTATTCAGAATCTCAGGAAAGCAGCCTCCCTGCTAACTGATGCACTCTGAACTTTGTTATACTCCAGGCATTTCCAGATGTCACAATCCAGTGAGCTAATTCACATTACCCAATATAAGAGAATACAGCTTAGTAATGAAAGAGGCAGGAATGTATACACTGACAGCTTTATCAAGGGCATCTGTACATACACTCCGAGGCATGGGAGGGGGCCAGAAATGTTGAAAGTTATCTAGTTCATGATGAAAGGGGAAACTTGATGGATGATATTACGGAGCTGGTCAAAAACAGCAAAAAAATATCTGGTGAGTGCCTTTTTGCAGTGGTCATACAAGCACACAACATGGTGCGAGGACATTTTAGCTTACCAGATATATTCTGGAAAAAATCTGGTAAGACACAAAAAAGTCAAGACAAGAGTTGAGGAACCTCTCAAGGGGAATAAGAGAGAATGGCAGACACCCACATCCCAATTTATAAAGACAGAATTTGATAAATGTAGACAAGTAATACATAAGATTTTCTGGAAGACAGGAGAAGCAAGAAAAGGAAGAAAAAGTCAGTAGCTCCTCACAGCAAAGGAAATTTCCGCAAAGGAAATGAGCACAAGTGCAAAAAAAACCAACACAGTAACAGATCCACTTGGAGAAATTGGAAATACATCAGGTTACTGAAAAGAAAGTCAGAAAAACAGTAAAGCACAAGAAAAAGAGGCACAATGAAGACAATCAATTCGCAACATGAATATTAATGAGTGTAAAGAAAAAAGAACTATCATTTATGAGAAGGGAAAGAGAAGGAAATTGTTGGCCAGCTACTTAACCCAGAGACTTAGGGGAACATCTGGCAACAGAAGATGCTAAGAAACTCAAACTGTAAAATGTTCCATTTAAAAAATCCTAACGGTAAGAAATAAGAATGGTGAGACTGACGGCCTGGGCAGACTCACAGCTGCCATCATCAGGGTATCCTCAAAGGCCTCCAAAAACAGGCCACTGTCAGGAATACTGTAAATATATTTGATTCCGCCCTTTAACAAGAGAAGAGGCCAAATGGCCTCCTGATGTTTACTGCAGACTCCTTTTCTGATTTTGCATGATGCAATGTAAGAGAACAAAGGGACAATTCATACATTAAACTAACTGTTAAATTGTGGGAGAGACAATTGTCATTACAAACCTCCAGGACGGGGGTGCGGGGGAAATCTGAGAAAACACACATTCATCTTACAGTTCTGTATGTTTCCTTCTATGTAGCAGTATTACAAAAGTCAGTAGAGAGACATGAAACATTACCCATATTCTAAACATCAGAAAACATTTATTTATTGCTTCAAAGATTGTAAGACTGAGTAGCTTCAGCAAGGTTAAAGTGCCATTCAGCATTTGAGTGCATAAGCACTTTCTGAATCAAGAACAGAAGCAAGTTTCTTCAGCAACTTATCTACAAGTTCAAAGTGGGCTCTGACATGAAAATGTAGAGAAGCCCACAGATGACATTCTTCCTATTCTGAAAGCCAATATACACAGAGCCTTTTGGGGAAACGTTAAAGATAACTTTTCTTCTAGAATTAGCTCACCTTAAAGACTTCAGCTTCTCCTTCAGCCTAGTTAGCCTAGATGCAAACAAAAAGCTAGTTCTTCCAGTACAGTTCCACTTAACACGTATTTTGACATGAGTTAAAAAAAGCACTACTTGCTTGACTACTTTTCCACAATCAGAAGAAAATTAGCTACTGAGTAAAGTGTCTGAAATCCATTACCCTGCCTGTGTCCAATTACACACATATACACAACCCCCCCCCAACTTACTAGGATAATGACTTCATCTAACAAAATTCATAAAGACTGGAGCACATCTAAAGACGACACAGATTTCCCTGAACAGGAGGAAATTTATTCTGTGACAACATTCTTCTTTCTTGTGGGAACTATGCTGAGATTCTTAAACACAGTCTATATTGCATTGCTCTTTCAACACATTTAGTCAATGAAGAAGGTTCATTATTGGCAACACATGATGATCTGAAGACAATCGCCACAATCTACTGGCTTCAGAAGCTGGAAGAAAGATCTGCAATTTTTAAATTTAAAATACTATATAATTACTGAAAAAGTTATTAAACGCTTCTGAGGGCACAGCATATTCCTTCGGTCATTCTCAGGCCTAAGCAATCAAATGAGCAATTCTTCCAACTACTGTATTTCAGAAACAAACATTTAAAGATTTCTTTCTTTACCCACGTAACAGACAGTATATTTGGTGGTTTTCCTCAAATCATCACATGCCCTAGAGAGATCAGCTTCACAATCAAAACCTGAGCTGCTAGGTATGAATTTGTTATCAAGTTCTGCTTATCTAAGCAGCTAATCTTAAGGAAGGTCAGAAAGTAGCTACTATTTTAAGAAAATCTAGTTTAAACAACAGCATAATCAGGGTTAAAAATAAGAGGACTGCTTACTGGTAGGTCATTTTCTAAAGTAAACCTACAACACCTTCATTAAGATTGCACTCAATATATTACAACTCATTTTTTAAATGGCCATAAATTCACAAATACAGCCAGATGATGTGGCTGTTCATTCAGCTGCAGGACCAGTGCTGCTGTTCTTGTACACTCAATTTGCCAAGCTGAGGGAATACGGGCAGCATTCCAGAAAAGAGAAGGTAAAAATAACAATTTATAAGGGGACGACAGCAATTTTGAGGTATGCCCAGATTGGATTCTCAGTTCGACATTACTCTGTATTTACAAAGTCATTCTTTTTCACCTTCTCCCTCTAACTCTTACAAGACAATCCATCAACTGCATGAAACAAACTGAGTTTCTATGACATATGTTCCCAAGTTAGCTGTTCACTTTGCTAAAATAAATATTTACATGTAACAAAATCCAGAACTACTCAGAAATCACACAAGTTGGTTATGTAGGCTTATTTAGCATTGCTAAAAAAGATTTGAGTATTTACAGTTCCTCAGAGAAACAAAATTGACAGCAAAAGTTACGTTCTACACAAGCACAGAACCATGGCTCAGGACAAAACTTGTTTTACCCACTTCTATACTCAAGACAGTTTTTAACGTTGCCAGCCCACAAGTGTGTTTGATACTGAACATAACGA